AATTATAGGTTAACAATAGTATTATGATCGATTTACTTAATAATTATTTTGATATAAAAAGCTTGAAAAAAACAATCTGCACATTTAGGGTATATAAGCAAAATGCAGTGCTATTGTTTAACCAAGTTGGAATAACTTGAAATCTGCGCAACCAAATAAAATTAAACGCTAAAATATACCTCAAAAACGTTTCGAAATGCTTAAAAGTAAAAATGTGTTGTAATAAACTATAACTATTATGTGTATTGGCATATTAGGGTCATGGTAATGGCGAGCAACTGAACAAATTTTATAAATTTCATCCATTTTAATTACTTCTGCGGTCTGTCAACTTTTACCTTGTTCATATTAATTTAAGCTTATTTTTAAATATAATAACTTAACTGGAACTCTGTCTACAATAGACTATCACTTTTTCTTTAACATTATTATGGAAATTTATCCATTGCGAACGACCTTCTTCCGATATATTTATGGACTTATATACGAGAATCAATTACACTTTTTTTTACTGAAGAGCAAGTTTTTAAAGAAATCTCATCGAAGCATGTCTTGTGGTTACATGTATTCTGAATTTTTGTAACTTTTTATCCACTGAGGATGGTTCACTGTGAACCGAAACGTTTGGGGGTTATATATTATATTTAATTTTCATTAATACATTAATTTTGTAATATTATGCTTGGCTCATTGTCCATCGTTTCTTATTTCAATTTTAATTTTCTGAGCCTTTAGATATTTGGTTTTGTGTTATAAATATATTCACTAGAATTCACTCCCTAATAGAAATATTAAAAGAAGCCATTACATCTACACTGGTCACAATCACTCTCTTTCAATAATTAAAAAAGAAAAAGAGAGAGATAAAGGCATATGAAATAGGAATTATATAGAATAGAGGAACATATGAAATGATGTAGACATCGAAGAAATTTTTTAAAGAAGCGAAACAAATCACGTGATAAAATATATGTTGCAAACATTGCAGCAAAGAGCACAAATAAAATAGAACATAAAAAAGTTCTTAAGAATCATGCCTTCTTGTTTTCGATGTATTTGCCGTCGATGGAGGAAAGAGAAGGAACGATTTATATCCAATATGTTCGCTCCTCGTGGAAGCATGTAAGATGCCTTAAGAGGCTCCCGCTTACGTCATCCGATCTTTGGGCCTCGTACCCGGGGCTCTCCAAAGACCTATTACCTTATTTACGATTCGCACGGCCATTATCTCCTGGCAACAAAGTGAACCAGCCGGTTTTTCGATACTATCCGCATGTGTATACCCGCCGGTGTGAAAGAAAAAGGGGAATCCTTTTCGCGGACGAGAAACGAGCACAAAAGACACGCACAACACAGTCGTGGTGCAGTTTTGCGGTCGTGGCCGCGCCACCGAGAACGGAGGAGGACTTTTGTCTTCGTTTCTTAATAACACGCGCGTCCACACGGAGACACTGCGTGGGGCGACCCTGGCAGAGCTAAAAGTGCTCACGCCACTCTGAGATATTATCAAATTATGGATACAAAATTAGGAACAGAAATATTGGAAGGGAGAGGTTATTTCTCTGTGTGTGTGTGTGTGTGTGTGTGTGTGTGTGTGTGTGTGTGTGTGTGTGTGTGTGAGATAACGATCAATATTTATTTACGTCATATTGCTAAATGCAAAAATAATATTTCAATTATATGATATAATAATATTATAAATAAAATAAATTAAGTAAAGATTTTTGTAACGCTATTTCAATGAAAGCATTTCGTTTACTTTTAAAACGTCAGAGTAAAAGTAGCAATTTCGGTAACGGTAAATAAGTAACTATCAGGGAATAATGACCTCGTCGACAGACAGGTCTCTAATTTTGGAGTATACGATTTAAGTTTCAAGTATTTATAAATCTACATTTACGTCAGTCGTGCGCTACTGTGTGACGGTATAATCAATTTTTTTAATTATTTGAAAATTTCTTTATATAATTGTTACGTTGTTTCATTATCTTAATTTCTAATTCTCCGAAAAACACGAGTATAAATGAGGCAAGTGGAAGAAAATGGGAAAACCGTCCATGTCTCACGTTGAAAAAAAAAAGACATTTAATCAAGATTGTCACAAAACTGGAGATAAAAAAATATCAGGGAAATCAGGGAGGAGCCAGAGAATTTTGCAAAATTTTTTTTGAAAATTAAAATTCTTTTAACGAAGTTTAGTATATCATCCTTACATATGTAGTTTTGGAAATACCAATTTAACAATTAAAAATGTAAACAATGTTAGCAACATGAATAGTAATTTACATCGCTATTAAATTGATCTCTCAAAATAATAATCTCAAAATAAATAAAATATTTGATGATTTTCGAATCAGATCGAAAATACAAAAAAATTTCAAAATATTATTGAAAGTCAGAGAAAATAATCCAAAAATTATGGAAAACTTATGGAATTTTTAGAATGAGGAATTTGTAAACAACTCTGTTAATAAACCCAAAAACAGCTTTTATCGGAAAATCTTTAGTTTTGTGATGATCAAAACGCAGAGGTAGGAATATTTTCGCAGGAACACGAATGTTGATATTTGCCAACTCGCAGAGTCATACTACGTTAATTTCAGCCGATGGCTCGCGGTGACCGTTGCTGTTATGGGAGAGCGAGGTAAAGAGAGAGAAAGAGAGAGAGAGAGAGAGAGAGAGAGAGAGAGAGAGAGAGAGAGAGAGAGTTTCGATGAAAACGAATTTGTCGTTGGCCGCGATGCAACACGATGCGTCGCTCTGCGGCGCAACAACCTGTTCGATGACTTTTCCGTTTGATGATTGCAACAAGTGAGGCCCACCGCCGCCGTGCTCTCTCCCGCGTTCTCCCAAACCATTTTACCACCGACTGCCACTCCCCGTTTCGCATTCAACAAGTGGCCAAATCATTCACCGCGGGGCGACGATCTCTCGAAAAATCGGAATTTTTGTGCACGCTGTCGTTTGACCAGTCATCGATTGATCTATCAAAATGAGATGGAGTTCCTCGCAGTAGCGGCGATATGGTATGTGACTATCGCGACATGCGATTGTCTGGGTGTTCCGAGAAGGATCATCGACGTTGCTGTTGAAATTGCAATTTTATATAGCTTATTTTTGCAGTAGCCAATTTCTATTTTCGTAAAAATCCACACAGATACATGCCTTCGACATAATAATAGTATTCGGCGGTTCGCTCTTAAGAGGTACGCGCGAGACGCATCCTTTCGAAATTCGATTGACGCCCTTTCGCCGCAACGTAATCATTACTGTCATCGGAAAGCGCCGATCTTTTTCTTCGTAATTTCAGTCGGCGCGCCAAGTGCCATTGGTAT